ATAATTAACTATAGCTTGAACTTTACTATCATTTGTCTTAATGCTTTTTTATGAAAGTGTATGTACCAGATGTCTAACTTCATTCATCGTAAACTGGATCTTATCTGGGTTAATTTAACAATCTCCCATTGGGCTGTTTCAATCACTTCCTGCAGAATCCTATCATGCTGCTCTTCCTTTGGGGAGGGGGGGCGACGACAGCTATAAGCACATCATCATCTATGACATGAATAGCAATGATATTGCCTAACTTCTCATTTATTCCACTGCTAAAAACACTTCAGTGGCAAGGAGTTGTTTCATATGAAAGATACAAACAATTTCAATTTTTATCCTAATACAATGAAGAGCAAGTGCTAAATTCTCACCATTCTTTAGTGAGGCATCATTCTCTGTTAGGGTTTTTTTTTTTCCCCTCTAGAATCAAAATGCTATGCTTAGTGAAAGGACAGCTTCTTTTTTATGAAGACTTCTTAAGAACTGAAGATGGGCTCCAGCACCAGTCCAAAAGCTCAGAAGAGTAAACCTCTGCTTCCAGTGACCAATCCAGATTCAATCTTGCAACATTATGAGATATGTATATTTGCCCTCACTCTTAACAACTTTCCATTTGCAGCTTTGAGTCTCAGCAAGGCTGAGCTTTAAGTCAGTCCTAAAGAATTCATGCACTACAGCTTTTTGCTGCATACATTTTTATTGTTAATACCCTATAAATTATTTATACACTCTTAATCAATTATTTATAAAAAGGGACCATGCCACAGAGTAATTGGCCATCTTGATTGTTACGATATTTCACATATAAATTGGCACAGATTGCCAAGAGCATGGAGCCAAGCAACCAATGAGCATGCTTGGTGCATTTAGATTTTGTTTAGATAATAGAAGTAGATAATTTAAATAATTTAAGTATAGCATTATTTGTGACAGATTTTCTTTGCTCAGCTGTTGAACCATATCTCTTATCAGAATATTAAGAATGGATCCCAGACCTTGGTTAGGTTTAGGACTGATATCTTAGTATATATGCACACGACTGCACTATATATGCACACGACTGCTGAACTCCATTAAATCTTACAGTCATATAGGAATTGGATTGACCTCATGAATGTTCTGGAGCAATAGTTTATCCAACCTGTATTTCTTTCTTTTTTCTGTACTTATCACCGCAAGTAGCAGTTAGCCTTCTGCCTTGTTAACCTTCTAGAACAGCATATGAAGTGGGCAAGGAATTCAAGTAGTTTACAATTTCATTACAGTGAGTAGACATAATTTCTGCTTCCCTTCTCCCAGGGTAAGAGATTTTTATTTTGTGGATTTTAAGGAAGATAACGGGGGGATTTCTCTTTCTGCCTCAGGTTTCTTCAAAGGGAAGAGCATTGATTTCACATTATTAAATTAATTGTAGCAAGTTAAATTAAAAGAGTTTAACTGATTGTAACCAAAAATAATGAGAAGTAAAATGAAGTAGTCTTCTTAGTTTTATTTTTTTGATAACTGCTGACAAGCACCATTTTCTCTCTGGTTGTGATCTCTAAAAGGTTATTTACCTACTCACACATACTCTCTTTCTATCTCTATCTCTCTATGTATAATCAATATATACAATATATACAATCACACACACACACACACACACACACACACAATTAGTGATATGATATAATCCATTTAGGCATAGCTCAAGGAGATTTTGTAGAAACGCTCTACTAATTTCATCGAGTTTCAAGAAAAAAATTCACTAACAGGTTATGTTAAATTACTTTCCAAACCACAAGAGACCATTAACCATAACCCTGTTTACAATATAATAGACTATTATGCACTCTAGCTGCATTAGCTTTGAATGATGGGAGATGTATTCTAACATCATTGGGTAGAAGCAAGGTGGAGTAGCTGATATAAAATGAATATTTAGATTTGAGCACTTAGCTCTTTTATGCCAAAGCTATGGCTCAACGTGTTTTTATTACGTTTGTCATTAACTATTTCCTAACTTAACAACTGCATGTATGTTTTAAAGACAGCATACCAAAATGGATATATTTGTAATAGTTATGTACAGATAAGCATTTGGTTCGGTGGCAGTAGCGTAAAAGGTTTTTATAAGCAAGGGAAAGATATTTATAAGGAAAACTGAATAAAATAGCAGCAATGTAAGATTTGGGAATGGGATTACCTAATGTATAGGATCCTTAATTGAATGACTAAGACCTGAATGATTTTCCAAGCTAACATTATCTAAACATGGAACGGTTTGCATCTGCTTTTTCTGTGGGCTTTTTCACTACTTAGTCTCAGCTATAATTACTTTTGAGGACTTTAGCACAAATTATTTTATTATTATTATTATTATTTTCTTGTGCTCAGCTGAGCTGCTCAGAAAGGTTCTTCATCAGGATTATCTTGAAAGTGAGCAAAAGTCAGCTCAAGTGTAAAGAAAATACTGTCAGCAATGGGCTAACTGCTGAAAACTCTGAGGACCTATATAAATTCACTAATTGGTATCCAGGATTCCATATACAAAATCTGGTGTCACAGACCACATTAAAATTCACCTCTAAATCTACTGTACATTATTCACACATACATAGACACACTTTAATGCCGTGCAAAAGTACAGGTAGTCCTATTTTAGCAGCTCCCCATTAAAGACCATTCCAGTGGTGATGAAAAAGTAATTTTATGACCAATCCTAATATTTTCAAGTTTGTAAAGCAAAGGAAAGCTGACATAAGATCATAAGCACAGTTGCAGTATCTCTTAATGACTGCTTTGCTTAACCACCAAGCTGCCAGTCCCAATTGTGGTTACAAAACTATAACTACCTGTATTCTACTTTGCATTTCTCCACTGTGATAGTATAATTGTGTGGTTCCTTTTATTAATATTCTTATTCTTTAGTCACTTATAAGCTATTAAGAGGACTTGACTGGATGACAGTTATTATTTTTTAAGAAACTTTGATAAAAGATTTAGTCAAGACATTTATGAAAACATATATAATTAAGGAGAAAGTTCCTAACGGTGAGGACAATTAACCAGTGGAACAGCTTGCCTTCAGAAATTGTGGGTGCTCCATCACTGGAGCTTTTTAAGAAGAGATTGGACAGTCACTTGTCTGAGATGGTATAGGTTCTCCTGCTTGAGCAGGAGAGGTCTCTTCCAGCTCTTTTCTATTCTATTCTATTCTATTCTATTCTATTCTATTCTATTCTAATTACAGTATTTATACAGTAGTTTATCACCACATTAAACCATGATATAGCTAAATAAAGAATATAATATATAGATTGACTTTGCCTCTTTAGATCTTCTGAATTTTTGTATAACTTTGTACTGGATCTTATCGAAGCTTCAGGCGAGCAATAATAAATAATAAATTGAATGAACAAATAACATAAATGTTTAGTACTTCTGCTTATTTCATAAGCAGAATAATCCAGTGAATTTGAGGCACTAATGTAAAAAAGGAACTATCCTCTTCAGTAATATCAGTGGCAATAACTGCAACCAAATGCTTTCTCCATTTGGTGACCAATTTCCTATGTTCCCGTGTAGGCATTTTGGCTCATTCCTTCATGCTGACTTCAGGAATATCTTGAGGGTTTCCTAGTGAAATCAGATAGTGCCACAACATGTCTATGCAGTTTAAGTCTAACATTCATTTGGCCATTCCAAAACATGATACATATCATGTTTTGAGCTAAGGCAGAGGTCCCCAACCTTTTGTGCAGGGACCGGTTCCATGGAGAAAGGTTTTTCCACGGACTGGAGAGTGTGTGGTTTTGTGTACTGCCTGTATTCCATGGATGGGGCTTTGCTTGTTTGTGTGGACCAGTTGCTGGCATGCTGCAGCATGGTACCAGTCCACCGACCGGGGGTTGGGGACCCCTGGACTAAGGGATGGATGGCTTGATGTAAGGAAAATTTCTCCTTACTTCAATGATGGTAAGTGACTGAATACTGAAGCCACAAAACACAGGTAGTCCTCAACTCACAGCAGTTCATCTAATGACCGTTAAAAGTTTCAATGGCACTGAAAAAAATGACTTACAACCATTGTTCATACTTACAACCATAGCAGCATCCTCACAGTCACGTGATCAAAATTCAGATGCTTGGCAACTGATTCATATTTATGACGGTTGCAGGGTCCCGGGGCTACATGATCACCTTTTGCAACGTTCTCACAAGCAACGTCACTGGGGAAGTCAGACTCTTTTAACAACCGTGTAACTAACTTAACAACTGCAGTAAATCACTTAATAACTGTGGCAAGAAAGGTCGTAAAATGGGCAAATTCACTTAACAAGCATCTCATTAGCAATAGAAATTTTGGGCTCAATTGTGATTGTAAGTCAAAGACTACCTTTATCCCCAAACCATGACATTACCACCTTCATATTCAACAATTAATATGAAGTTTTTATTGTGGAATATAATGGTTCTCTTCCATCAGACATAACATTTATGAAGGCTCATCTACCCATTGAACATTCCACCCAAAGTTTGACAAAGCTGAGATAACTATCAGTGATTGCCTTTGTGTTCAATGATTTCCCCCTTGCTATTTTTCTGAGGTTCTCAAAATCTTCATTAGGTAGTTCAATATTGATAATAAAAATTAATGGAACTGTAAAAACAATCTGTGGGGATGATTGGATTCTGAGCAGCCATTTCACACAAAAGATTTAATTTTCTTGCTTGACTGAACACTTCTGTAGATTCCTTTTTACAGGTTGCTTCTTTAAAGCAATGTTGGCCTTCTCTCGCCAGTCTTCGTTGTCATTGAATATACAGGAAATAGAATCATCTTTCTCTTTTTTGTGGAAGCTGAATGAGATCATAACAACTGAAATATTGTGTCACAAATTAAAAGTCCAGTTGCAAGTTTTAATTTTAAAACTGAATGAAGATCATTTGTTGTTTTTTAAGTAAAGCCATCATTCAAACTCAACTTTAGCTGATGATTTATTGACTTTTCCATTTGACAGGAAACAGATCTTATTCTGACTTTCAATATTTCAATGCACCGATCTTGGTGGATGGAAAATGGCCCAGGCTGCACAGTGACATCTGTGACTCCAGCCCCAGATTGGGCCCCAGAAGACCATCGCTACATCACTGTGTCAGGGTGCATTCTTGAATATCAATATATAGAAGTGGCTCACAGTTCTCTACAAATCTTTTTTGCAGTAAGTATCCCATTATCTCTTCTTTCACTGTCTTTTTATATGAGGTATCTCAACCCAAGCAAGTACAAAAATTGCAATGCTCTTTTTAAGTATGTTTAGTTTGTAACACACATCATTTATGGTTTAGTTGGAACCACATATCATTTTTAAAGAATGATCTCTAGAATTGTGTAAATCTAGAGGACACAAATCATGCGGTGTTCTATAGAATATTTGCAAATTGTAGTTTCGGATGCAAGCACCAGAATGTCTAAGTATATGTTTTGAGAAGCATTTATGAATAAATGCAAGCTGTATGATTGAACAAGCTACTATCTTTTTATTAAAAACTGCAGAATTGTGGATAGTTCTGCAGTTGTACTGTTTGATGGAACAACAAGGCTTAGTCTGTATTTATTGAAAAAGTTCGACAAGTTTAGTATTAAACTACAGTATTTAGTTGTACATATGTTGTTCCAGTGTTTTCTTCTTTATCCAGATCTTTATTTATTCATTTTATTTACATGGATGCTCAATAAAAAAGCATTAAAATATGAATATTTATATGCTCAAAAGAAAAGCATTAATATATGAATATATAAATTCATAAACAAATCAGAGATTTTTTTAAAACAAATCAGTAAGAATTTTTTATTGCAAGAAGAACTCCCTGGGGAAATGCACAATAATTGTGTAAATTATGCCTTAGAAGTGAACAGATTATTAATAATGCTACACGAGAGTTCTAAAAATCAAGGAAAACTTAAATATATATCAAATGAACTTTTGAAAAGCTACTCTGTTTTCTCTAGATTCATTAGCCCATTTTTTATCTAGTACAATTAATTTTTTTTTCAGGAGCAAATGTGCCAGAAACATATATGAGAAAGTCTAAGCCCATATTCAGAATTAAAACTGGAGTTTTAGTAGAAGGAAATACTCACATATCTTTCCTATATACATAAAAAAGCACGTGCCATATTTAATATTTATTTTTTTACCTACTGTTATAATAACAACTGTAAAAGTATTAAAGCACAACCACTTTACATTCTGCTGAGCATGCTTATAGAAGTAGAACTGTGATCTTAAATTAATTACCTATTTTTTCTGAAAGATTTTTGTACCGTAAACTAAAAAAAAAAAAAAACATTGCCCCTACTGGTGAAAAACAGAGCAGTTAAATATTATTATAGACTATTTCCCCATACTAAATATCCTTGTGTATATTCTGGTCAGTGTCTGTTACCTCAAAGAAATTATATGTAAAACCATGATTCTTGGAAAATAGAACAGAAAAGAGATATATTTGCAAAAATGCTTCCAAGTATTGGAGAATATGTAGATCAGTGAGTTGACCTGTGATTTAATAATAAAGTATAACTCTGATTAAACAAAAGCACAGTATTGCATTATGGATCTCTCTTTCTCTCTCTCTAACATAGGCATAGAGCAAGAAGTTAGCCTATATTGGTATTTCTCATATATTTCAGAAGAACATGAGCTGAATTTATAGGTGAAGATTTTCCTTTTACAGATAGATAATCATCATTGAATAGAGACATTTACTTGGCCTTTATTCATGGTTGAAACATTCACACAATATTCACATGTTATTACTTAATTTCTGAGGGATTGTTCCTCAAATTATAAAATCAGAGCCTTTGTTTTACAAGTTGCAGCCATAAAAAATATAGTACTAATGAGCCATGCCATTGGTCTGTAGAGCTGATTTCCATAAGGACTAGCAATGGGTTCATAAAGTTTCAAGTAGAAGTTCTCCTCAATCTTACCTGAATATGCCAGGAATACAACCTGAGATTTTACATATATCAGAAATATATTTTATTCTCTGTAGGCAGTGCATGTAGAAGGCCACATAGATAACCTTGGGAAACCTATGCAGCAACAGTTTAAAAAAAGGTTTTAAGCCCAGAAAATAAGGAAAGTAAAAAAAAAAAATAATAACAACAAAAACCCCCTCAAATTTTCTCTGCCCTAATTCCCTGGGTTATAAAGGAAGGGAAGAGCGTCACAGTCAGGGCTTCAAAATTCTGTTTCTATAGCCTTTATTAATAAAGTCTGGTTTCAGTCTAACTGCCCAATATAGACAGTTTCCAGCAGCTGACCTAGCTATTGATCACAGTTAGAATTGATAGTATTTATTGGTCAGGTGCAACTAAACATTCAAAACAAACATTTTTACTTTCCACATTTTAAAAGAAATTAACAAACTTTGTAAACAATGGCAACTCATACCCCATTCATTACATTAGTAAATCTTTAAATTGACCAACCACTAATGTCATCTAATGCAGTGTTCTTTCTATTTCCATAATTGCAATTCCTGATTTTATCCAGTTTTGTGTACTAATGTACTAATGGGGCATAAGCAGCAATTATTGTTTGAGTCTTTTCTAAACAATTCAAAATATCTTTCCAAAAAAAAATCTTCTTTCCTCCTTACCTGCTTTGCTCTCTTTCTCTCATTAGGAGTTCTTTTTTTATTATTAGTTTTATTCATTTATAACATAAAATGTGAAAATACAAAAGCAAATAGTTGGGGACAACAGTAGAAAAATGGAAAACAAAAAAGATGTGAAGAAAGGGAGGGGAAGAAACAAAAGGCATTGACTTCAGTCTCTCTCTCTATTGCAGTAAAATCAGATATTATAATCAAATCTCAACTTTTTACATTTCTATAGTAGTATGCACTAGCCATTTCTGTATTGGCAAATCAGTCTAATCGGTGAAACCCAAAATCATGGTATCATTTTTTTTCCACCTCAAGCACAAAGTCCAGAAGTGGTTTCCGAGTAGAAACAAAAGTACTTATATTCTTTTCTTTTATCAGCACAGTCAGTTTGACCATCTCTGCTAATTCCATCAGCTTTTGTAACCATTCGTCCATGGTAGAAATCAAGGCATCCTTCTACTTTTGTGCATAGAGCAGTCTTGCTGCCATCACCATATATAAAATCAGAGTTCCAATTTTTTTTCCAGTTCTCTTTCTATTAGATGCACAAGGAAAGTTTCTGGTTTAATCTTTATGTTCACTTTAAGAATTTTCTGCATTAATATATGAATCCTACTCCAATATTTCTTTGCCTTATCACATGTCCACCATAAATGATAAAAACTCCCTTCTTTACATTTACATTTCCAACATTCATTTGAAATACCTTTATACATTCTAGATAACTTATCTGGTGTTAAATACCAGCGATACATCATTTTATAAAAATTTTCCTTTAGATTATAATTTAATGTGAATTTTAAGCCTTTTATCCACATATTCTCCCATTGTTCAAACATCACATTATATCCAAAATCCCTTGCCCACTGTATCATACAGTGTTTTACATATTCATTTTCCAAATTCAATTTTAATAATGTTTTATAGACCTTGGCAATTATATGATCATCACTACCACATAGTAGGATTTCCAATTCATTTTTAGCAAACTCAAAACTATGGCCTTTTTTGTCTAGTTTCCTTCCAATCTTTCCTTCATTTGTTGATATGTAAACCAGTGACAAGCATGACCTTCTAATTCTAATTCTTCCCTAGACTTGAGGATGGGGTCTCCAGAATTGAAATATACTATTTTACCATATGTCCACCAGTCCGGCTTCACCATCATTTTTTTAAAAAAAAAAAAAACTGCTTGGGGGGACACCCATAGGGGGAATTTTGTAAAAAAAAAACACCTTGTTTTATATTTATTTCCTCTCATTAGGAGTTCTTGATAAGAGCCTAGTAGCAGTGGAGTTCTAATCACTCAAAATTTTTCATGGGCAGTGTTTGAAAGGTGTCCAAGTAATCCCCTTCCTCTGAAGTGATCACTGGTGTGATACCAATGCTGTGGCAAAGGTATGCTCTACTACCTAGGAATTGGACCTATGCCCTCCTGATTATTTCATGAGGAAGGGTGATATGAGTACCAAAGAAGTAGTCAGCTGCACCCAGAAGGAAGTAGTATTGTGACATCTCTGAACTCAGTTGCCTTATGCCATTATCTTCAACGTATGATTCTAAATTACAGAGTGCCCTAGAAAAAGAGGATTACTTGAACTGTCTTCATTCAAGATACAGGACTAGAGATGGGACAGAAAAAAACATTGGTATTCTGGTTGATGTCTTTTCCTGAATCTTAAATGCCCTTCTAACCCTTTTGAATTTCTGAATCATGAATTATGGTGTCTTGCAATCCATAAATGATGGAAATCAGAGGCACTGTTCTGCAGTGCTTCCATTCTTGTTAGCCATACACTTCCAATTAAAGATGATGGAGATGAGAGACTGGACAGGTGAGCACTCCCTTGCAGTGTGTCTTGGGATTTGGTTTGTTCTCATCTGTTGTTGTTCTCCGGAGATGAGAGGTCATATGTCATCACTATAAAGTGAATTGTCATATAACTGTATATCTCCATTCTAGACCAGGCTGGAGATCCAATGAAACTCTTGACCCAGTGTCTGGAGTCTAGATGAACCTAGATGGAACAAAACTAAGGTTGAGGTTGACTCTAAAAATATGAACCTGTTATTTATTTAGAAACAAACTAACAAACATCTCTGTCATCTCTTATTTTAAACATGAATGTGGTGACATGCCTACAAAGGAGCAGGTCTGCAACGTGAGAATTCTTTTGGAGTCATAACTACAGCAAGGCTATGGCTAGGGAAGCATTTGGGAAACGTTAGCTAATGTACCAATCATAGCCCTATCTGGAGCAGGATCATACATGTTACCATTATCTCGTCAGTTTGCTTTTCATGGGTTTGTCTTTGAAAACCATCCGTAAGCTGCAATAGGGGCTGAATACAGTGTATGGCATGTGGAGAGTCATTGCAGTCACATAAAGGTGTGCTGTGCATTGGTTTCCAATAGGCTTATGCATGTTTTAAAGCCTTACATGAGTTGGCTCCTAGGACCACCTTTCAATCAATCAGAATAGAGCTGAAAGGGACCTTGAGGTCTTCTAGTTCAACCCCTGCTCAAGAAGGAGACCCTACATCA